CTTTAAGGAGCTGTTTGCCCCTGGGTGCCAGCCGACACGCTGCGAACCCTATTCGCGGGAGCCGCCCTCAAGGTGGGTAGTAAAACAATTGGAACATCGTAACGGCATTCTTAACGGCATCCTTGAGGAGGAGATTTTTTATGGCACAGCCAGAGGGGTTTGATGATGGTAGTGACATAGTGTGGAAGCTGAAGAAGGCCCTTTAATGGGCTGAAGCAGGCCCCCTAGGCAATGGTACATGAAGCTGCGCGAAGTGTTGGAGGAGATCGGCTTCACTCCCTCAACGCCGATCACTCCTTGTTCATGCTTGCGAGGGGGAGCAGAGGAGCTTCATGGTGGTTATGTGGATGACATTCTCATATTCTCACCCTCCTCTGACCTTGTGAAGGAGGTGATGCTGAAGCTGCATGACAAGTTCAAGTGCAATCCCTTGGTGACGTGAACTTCTACCTTGGGCTCCATATCGAACGAGACGTGAGAAGCGGAGCATGCGAGTGCACCAACGGAAGTACCTGGAGGCATTGGCCGCCAACTTTGGCCAGAGTGAAGGTCATGTGGCTACTCCCTTTCCCTCTGGGTTCAGTGTGTGAAGGGCCAGAGGAGGAGAGCGTTGGAGAGAAGAGAGGCGCCGTTTTCACTCGTTGGTGGGCAGCCTCATGTATTCGGCGGTAACACCCGACCGGACGTGGCGTTTGCTACGGGCAGCTGCTAGGGTTTGTGCAATGCCCTAGAGGAGCAGGTAGCAGCTGGAATGAGGGTGGCCAAGTATCTTGGCCAAACACCGACCGTTGGGCTCAATACTCGGCAACGGTACAAAGCGCCAAAAGGGCGCGGATGGTGTTGAACCCGGGCGTTTGTTTCCTCACCGCCTACTCGGATGCTTCATATGCATCAAACCAGAGGACATGACAAGTGTGGGAGGCTTTATATGCTGTGTTGGTGGAGGCCCAACTGCTTGGGAGAGCAAGAAGCAGTTGACCAAGCTTTGAGCTCGGTTTGAGTCCGAGTACATGGCACTCTTCCGTGCCGCGGGAGATTGTTTGGCAGCGGCGTTGTTGGCTGACTTGGGGAGGAGCAGCAAGGACCTACCCCACTCTACTGTGACAGCCATAGGTGCCATTGCCCTTGCTAAGAACCCTGTGTTGCATGGACTCACAAAGCACATGAGGGTGAAGTGCATTGGACGAGGAGCATGGTGACCGCGGGTGAAGTTGAGTTGCGGTACGTGAAGACCACGAAGCAGCCGGCTGACATGATGACTAAGAGGCTGGTGGAGCAGCAGCATTGGAAGTGCTGCAAGCTGGCTGGGATGGCTCTGAACTGAGAGAGCAACATATCCTAAGGCCAACAATCCGAGGGGGAGTTTGTGGTGCAACCCTACGGTTTGCACTTCGGCTTGTTGTCTGTGTGCGTGCAGTTGTATGTGTATGGAATGGGTATGAGGGCATGGGATAATATATGTTTTCATGCTTATAATTGTGTGTGAATGTTGAGTCATGATGTCGAGTGTGTGTGTCGAGTCAATAGCGAGATATCGCTAGACGCGTGTTACGCGGTCGTTTGTGTCTCGCGCGCGTTTCTATTTGTCCTGTGTCGAACGTTCGGCATGTCGCAGGTGTGTGCAGAAGACCCGTCAAGAACCCAAGGATGAGTTTTTGATGAAGAGCCCGAGCCTTTGTGTCAGGCCTCGAGTGATTTCGAAGCTCGCCAAAAGGGTGCACCTCAAGATATTGAATATAGTTACATTACTTTGTGTAGTGTAACATTTCACTTGGTGTAGGCCCTAGTGAAGGGTAGTTTCGAGACCCTTCGTGGTTGGGGACAGTGTGGCACTGTTCCACATCACTGTACCTCGGCTCTTGGGGTTTGTAGGAGCTGGGAGTCATTCCCAACTCGTAACTCTTCCTAACTTCTTCCTATCTTGTGTTCTAAGACTATAGAGGCTGCCATAGTGCCGTTCGTTCAAACAGCGCAGTGTCGTCAATACTTGGTCAAATCGTGCGATCTGAATTGCCAATTGTAGGCGACAATAAGACGCTCCAGATCCAAGTTGAATCAAGTCATTTGAAGCTATGACCAGAACGATATGAACGTTTGAAGCCGCTGTGCAGAAATCCGACTGTGCACTCTATCTTTCGTTTTAGGCACATTGGAGCCTACTGTGACTATAACATCCACTGCTGCTGCCACTGCTTCTGCAGCCACTGCTGTGGCCACTGCTGTAGCCACTGCTGATCGCCTCCATTACTGCTCGTCCATTATGCTTGCTTCCCTCACTGCTCTCTTGCTTGTCCTTGTCCCTAGCTTCCCTGCAGTCACAGTCAACTCTTCCCTCAACCTCACCTCTCTTTCCATCATCACTCCCTGCTACCCTACCCACCTATCCGCCTGCGAACATCATCGTACATAAGGTAACCCCCTTCTGCCGGAAAGAGAAACGCCAGTTTGGTCAGCGCAGTCAGCTGCTGCAGGCCCATCATCCGTGACTGCCATCCCACCCAGAAGAATTTCTCTAGTCCTGTCAGCCTCCCCACCTGCACCATGCCGGCATTTGTCACCTTGGTCTTCCAGAGATGGAGCTCCGCGAGATTGTCAAGGACCCAATCCCTTCCAAGGCGCTGTCTGAGACATCTGTAAGTTGCAGGTCTAGCGTCTCCAGCTGTGGCAGCCTGTACAGGTGCTTCATGCCCTCTGCACCGAAGCCTGAGGTAGATCGTAAGTCGATGCTCTTCAGGTGGGTCATTGTGACACATGGGTGAGCATGGCGTCTGAGAGGCCGCCGAGACTCGCCAAACTCAGATGGGTTCCTAGTGATGCTGATTTGATTCGCTGGAGGTGATGGATACAAAAGAGAATGAATGGCAAGGAGTGATCATCGAGACAACAGCAAATCATGCTTGCTCTGAAAAACAGTTCATTCAGCACTCACCTCCCATGCAGTCTTCCAATAAACTTCATTCCGGATAATTTCCATCTCAACATTCACTCAACTCCTGCAGGCTGCCAATTCCTCCATGGCACGTGGCCAATTCAACTCCTGCATCTCCCTCCTCCTCTCCTCCCTCTCCCTTGCCAACTCCGCTCTCATGTCATCCTCTTTCTTTCTATCCTCCTCAATTAGATCTTGCTAACCAGATTCCCTTCTTCTCTCAGCCATACACAGTTGCTCTATCATAGAATCCTTGTGCCCAGCCAACGCCCACTTCACTGCTGCCAATTCTACGTCCATCTCCGCCACTCGTCTCCTCTCAGCCTTCTCCAACTCCCTCTTCCTCTCCTCCACCTGTCCTCTCAGCTCTATGAAGTTCTCTGTGTGTCTTTTCTCAGCCTCTTCCAATTGTCTTTTCACAAAGTCCTTTTGCCTCCTCAAGTCTCTTCTCAATGCTGCCAATTTATCCCTGATCTCACTCAACTCCTTTCTAGCCTTCACTTGCTCTGCCATAGCATCCTTGTGTTCAGCCAGATCCCTCTTCATAGCTGCCAGCTCCCCCTGCACTGCACCCAACTCTCCCTTTACTGCTGCCAAATCCTCCCACCTCTCCTCCATCTGCCCTCTCACCTCACCCATCTGCGACACTCGTTTCCTCTCAGCCTCCTCCAACTCCTTCCTTGTCTCTTCCAGCTACATGCCAAGCGCCCTCATTCTCATCTTCATCGCCTCTTTCAGCTCGTGTGTTCCAGCCATAATTGCCATGACAGACCCAACAGCTCCACTTACTCTCTCCATTTGGAAATTGGCGTGCTTCCTACACATGGCAGCACATGGAAACACAGGCACATGGCAAATCATGGATGGGAGTTTTTTGGGGAGAGAAGATGTGAGTGGAGCATTAAGAGGATGAGGAAGTCAAGAGTAGTGGAACTGAGCTTTGAGGTTTCACCTTTACGCAGAAGGAGAGCTGTGAGGGCAGCAGGAGAGCTGTGAGGGCAGCAGGAGAGCTGTGAGGGCAGCAGGAGAGCTGTGAGGGCAGCAGGAGAGCTGTGAGGGCAGCAGGAGAGCTGTGAGGGCAGCAAGAGAGCTGTGAGGGCAGCGGGAGAGCTGTGAGGGCAGCAGGAAAGCTGTGAGGGCAGCAAGAGAGCTGTGAGGGCAGCAGGAAAGCTGTGAGGGCAGCAAGAGAGCTGTGAGGGCAATAGGAGAGTTGTGAGGGCAGCAGGAGAGCTGTGAGGGCAGCTGCTGATGATAACATCCAATGATGAGAATGCATACCCCATCAAAACACTGCAACAATGCGGACATGTGAGGTTTAGAAAATACGCGGGCATATGACAGGAAGCGTCCCTGACTGCCAATTGGTGTGATGCTGATGGCAATGGCGAGAAGGAGGGCGAGCAGCAGCCTTTGCAGCAGCATGGCCACTGCAGTCATCCAAGCCATGACTGATGGGGCGAGCCCAATGCAGGGCGTGCGCCTGCACAGTGAGTTGTAGCAGGAGGAGAGGATGAATTCAGGGAGCAGGATTAGAGGAGGGAGGGGGGTTGTGGCAGGAAAGATAGGTTCTGTACTGAGTGCACAGGACGAGACAAGCGGACAACATAGGCATGGGGCACAGACGGGTAGAGATGAGACTAACATGCGGAATCACACACACGAAAGAACAAGCTGATAGTCAGACTGTAAGGCAGGTGGGGTAGGGGACAAGCGGCAGCAGGGGGGGGATGTGGGGAAGGGGGGATGACAGTCGTGCACAGTGTGCACAGGAGCTAACGAGGAGAGGGATGGAGACAAAACGAGAATAAGAATGGTGGCGTAGAATCACGTGAATGAATGCCAAAGGCCAGTGCCTCAACTCATTCGCCGCATTCTCCACACCGCACTTGCTCTGAACAACAACCCTCGTTCACTCTCCTGTGCCGCCTTCTCCGCCACTACTGCCGCCACCTCCCCCTTCACTACTGCCAGCTCCTCCCTCATTGTTGCCAGTTCCCCTCTCACTGTTGCAAACAGCCCTCTAACTGCCTCGCTAAGCTCATTCTCCTCCCTTTCTACAGCCATTTCCCAATCCACTCCCAACCAGTTCAGGTAGTTTTCAGCAATGCTTGAGTTCAAGCACAGAGAAGATTCCGTCTGAAACATGGATAGGGAGTGAGAAACACTGGACTAGTTAAAGGTGGAGCGAAGAGAGGTCAGTAGAGGCAGACGCAAATGGAGAGAGATGTTGAAAGCAAGAGGGAAAGGTGAGGCACTGTAGCTCCTATGGCACGTGAATGAGAATATGCGATCATCGTTCTATGAGGCAAAGGAGCACATAGCCCCATGCTCATTTGCATAGCCGCTGCGGCATGTCGTATCCACACAAGACTTCTGCGCAGAAGGAATTTCAAAACCGCTCTCTTTACCCTAATCTAGACTCACAGACTCACAGGCTAGGTCAGTTGGAGGTTAGGTCAGTTGGGGCTAGGTCAGTTGGGGGCTAGGTCAGTTGGGGCTAGGTCAGTTGGGGGTTAGGTCAGTTGGGGCTAGGTCAGTTGGGGGCGAGGTCAGTTGGGGCTAGGTCAGTTGGGGGCTAGGTCAGTTGGGGTGGGGGGTTTTAGTTGGGGGCTAGGTTAGTTGGGGGCTAAGACACTCAGGGGCTAAGACACTCAGAGGCTGAGATACTAAGAGGCTAGGTCACTCACAGGCTAGGTCATTCACAGGCTAGGTCACTCACAGGCTAGGTCAAGCACAAGGTTGGCTCGACACAAGTAAGATTGGTCCTAGGCTACAATAGCCACAGGTGGGTCACTTATAGCTAGGACAGACACAAGCAGGGTTAGTCATAGGCTGGGTCACTCACAACAGCCGGTCAGCCACAGGCCAGGTCAACTGCACGCGAGGTTACATACAAGCAGCGAGTAGAGTTTTGACTCGACTCGATCGACTCAGGTGGTCTCTTGATTTCTTGTCACGCTGAGTCTAGTTGGCTTGACATACAATTCATCGCCCGACCCGGCTGGACATTTGTCAAGTTGGCACTCGCCTAGTTGGTGATTCGAAACAGCACACCTGACTAGTCTCTACTCGACTAGCTTGTCTCAGACATTTACCTGTGTCAAGCAACGTGTCGTTCAACAACTGAATCTCTCATTTTCGTGGTCCAATCTCGGCCTGATCTGGTTAATAGTCGTTCCTTGTCGGCCTTGTCATTCATATTTGTCCCAGCCCTTATCTCGGCCTTGTCAGTCCTACCTCGACTCGCGAGTTAACTCGGGTCGGTCAGAGCTGAGTCGACTCAGAGTAGACTTGAGTCGCCCTGTGCACATGTCCAGGTCAGTCACAGGCTAGGTGAGGCAAGCCTGGTCAGTAACAGTAAGACCATTCACGGGCTGGGTCAGTCACCGCCTAGGTTGGTCACACGCTGCGGTGGGTCACAGGGCAGGTCGGCTAGAGCCCGGATAAGTGAGAGCGTGGGTGTATCAACGATGGCAAGGAAAAGCAGCACGGGAAGGGCCTGGAACAACAACGCTGAGTGGGACAAGACTGCATCAAGGGGCTCTGCTAGTTCATAGGTTGTCCAGACCTCGTAGCGACTCGGTATGTAACCTAAAGTTGCACATCCCCTCCCCCCCCCCCCCCCCCCCCCCCCCCCCCCCCCCCCGCAATGCAGAGGGCTGACTGGGGGAAACTAAAAGTGGAGCTTACCTCTTTTAGGATTTCTAAGACTATCACACTTCTGCGGCCCTCGAAGTGACTTAGCAGCGGCGCCGTAATTCGATCTCTAGGAAGGTAGGCAAAGAGACGGCGGCTCGGGAAAAACCAAGGGGAAACGATGCGCGGAATATTGTACGGATGACACTGAAGGAACACGGCGCCGCCGTTGGTACTAGTTTTGTCGAGGTGATGTGAGTAGCATTTCTTTTGACCAGGCGCTTTTTGTCACCATCGTAATATTCCTCTACTGTGTCCTGACACAGTGGTGAGCACAAGCTTGTTTGTTTTAGTTTGAGGTGTATAGTACTTTTGCTGCTCCTCCAACACCTTCCCACCGCCCCACAAACCATCGCCAGTTTCCTCCTTGATGTTGCCTTGCTTCATCGAAATAATAATTCGCGAGACTCGTGCACTTTTCGCGAACTTTCGTCTTATCGCGAAACGAAACTGTCATGCCGGCGCTGTTCGCCAGCACTTCTAAAAAAAGAAAGGCCACGGAATAGCCGTGGAATCACGGACCAGAGGAGGAACCTCCCGAATAGGTGTGGGGGGAATGGCCAAATCGCGAAATTTTATGCCATAAAGGGGAAGGGTGGCATCGGGATCAGGAACCACCCTCCCCACCTTCCAATTCCCCGTTCCCCCCCTCCACATCCTTCCAATCCCATGGCCATTCCAAAGCCAGGGGAGGGGGTTGAAAGGGGGATCCAAATGGCGAGCCTCCAGGCTCGACCAGTACGAACTAGGCAAAACACTTCGGTCAGGCTAGAAAAATGTGAAAAAAATGTCGAACGTAAGCCTAAAACGCGACGCGAACACCATGCGAGGTTGTAACCCGCACCGCATCCTCCCCCAAAACCTCCCCCATGGCGCAAAAAATTCCGCCCTAGTGCCCAGAGAATCCAAATTGCACTCCCATGAGTGACCTCACCCACGAGGGATGTAAAATGGATTCCCTCTACCACGAAATTGTTTTATGATTTTACCCCACACTCTAAACTGATGGGTAAAATGGATATCAGAAATGTATCCCTAATCCAGTTGTATTCAATAAGGTCAAATGGGTGAGTACGACATTAAGGGCATCCATTTTAATTTATGGTGTTAATTTTTTTCGGGAAGTGATACACCCAATCCCACCGCAACAGTAAAATGAGGCAGGGAGAAGAAAAACTGTCCAGCTCGCGAAGTTTCGTTTCGTGCAGCTGCAGTTTCGTGGGCCCCCAATTCTCGCGTCACTCATCCGCGCCTTTTCCCCCAAAGGTTCCGCTTGCGCTTGGACCCCCGACTTGGAGTCAACGCTGGTTGACTCCGAGTTGACCACCCCGAACTAGAAACCCTAGCTGAGAATTTCGATCCCCCCCATCATCCCTCGGTGGATCCTCTGTGCTGCCGAACATCGCCCAAGGCAATTTTGCTTGGGGGGGTGAATGGCGATGGAATGGCAATGGGACCAATGTTTGCCTGTAGAGGAAGCTCCCGACCCACTTTCCTACCTTCACGATTCCATTCGAAATGAATCAAAAGGAGGGCGTTCGACAGGACAACATGATTCCGTTTGGTTCGGACGAAATCATAGGCTCGGCAAGAATTTCGCGTGCTGACCTGCTTGACGGACCCTAACGAACCCTAACGCACGGGATCAGGAAGCTGAGGCTGACCTTCCTGATCCTGTCATTTTTCTTGTTAAAAGTGCTGGCGAATAACGCCGCCGTCGCCACTTCTTTCCACCAAACACCCCAAGCGAGAAAATTCTGCTGGTAGCATTTGTCAGCCATGTTTCATGTCTTGCACCAATGCATACCTTTATGTCGTTGTTCTGAGATAGGGCGAAGTCAGGTTGTACAACCTTCTGTACGCCTACTGCGTTTAACTTTGTTTCAACACAGTGCAGAGCGGTACGAGGCGAGAACCGCTTCTTGCCTTGATGGACCATCCTGAACCACAAAACAAGAACTGTAAACGCGTGAGAATTGTATAACCTGACTTCGCCCTAACGTGTAAAATGGTAAAGCACGCAACGTTCTGGACAACTGATTGTTGTAGTAGTAAGCGTCTTGCGTTAGTAGTGTTTTGCGAAATTGCCCAATTCATGCCAGTTAGGATTTCTCCAGCTGCGGGCTTCCTTTTTCATTCAAGTCTAACTTATTTTCCATTGCAGCGTCGATTTCCGTCATGGAATCTACCGTATTGTTCATTATCTAACTTGCGGGAATCTTGCGGATGCCCGGAAGAAGAAAAGTCGGTCGCACTGCGGCTTCCGAGAGAATGACAACCTATAATGCCTTCACAATTTACGGAAATTTCTTCGTCATATCGAGCCTGTCTTCGCGGACCGCTGTGGCGACATGGTCAGGTACGCATTCGAAGCCATCGCAAAGGTACGCGTTGCAAAGCATTGTCACGTACGCGTTAAGGGATGGCGAGGTGCGCGTTATACGGCATGACGAGGTACGCGTTATAAGGCATGCTGACACGTTTCGAGGCACTACTATTAGTGGTCAACTTCGCCCGTTTCAAGGCATGGTGAGATATAAACCCAAAACAAGTTAACATAAGATCACCTGATAGAATCAGAAGCACCCAAAGAAAACAATGGGATTTCTGTTTAAAACAGCTTCAGCTACCACCGAAGGGTTTCCATGCCAATCACACTCCCTCTCCCTTTCTTTGCAGCCCCACTTCCCCCACACTCCCCCCTCCCCCTCATCCTTCTCCTTCCCCGTTACAATCACAGAGCAACACTCAGCATCAATGAGGCACCACGCATCAAGCATGGGTCACCACCATCATTATCACACAACCAGCCCACATGGCAATTCTTTCAGCCAAACTCCGTCTCAATACAGTCACATCCAGTACACTCCCAACCACGGATACAGTCACGACGAACGTGACATGCTGCATCGGGCTGAGTTGGTGCGGCAGCAGCGTGAGAGGGACAGTTAGCCCCCGCCGCTCTTCACTGCTGTGGCTGCCGCTGCTGCGTCAGGCGAATCCTTTGTCCTCGAGTTCCCTCTCAGACGGGCTGCTGCTACAAATGCTGCTACAACTGCTGCCACAGCTGGTTACACAACTGCTACTGCTACAACCGGAGTAGCCAGGCTGCAAGCCCAAGGGAGGAGGAGGAGGCAGCAGACGGTGATTATCGGGCCAGTCTCCCTGCAACGGGCCGCTATAGCCGTAGGGTACCAGCTGTCTGAGAAGTGCCTGAAAGGCCCATGCAGTATGTGGCTCAAGAGAGTCTTCATAGTCCGAGTCAAGTCGGCCGCTGATTTCGCAGCCAGGGCCTCTCTCCCGCCCACCGCCACCGTTATTCTGCATTTACAGAAGGATTTGATGCTGCCTAAAGTGGTTTTGTTCGGGAGGCAGCAGTCTTGCACGATACTCATATTGGCAAAATGGCCCGGTTACACGGTGACGGGTGGTAACCCTATGTATCCGGTGCTGTGCGTGTGGAATACGAGTAAAGTCATGTCGCTGAACGTGAACTATCGCCTACCTGTGACGGAGAACAGCCCCAACTGCACCACCGTGCCCGAGCTCGGCAAGGCCGTCACCTGCCCTGCCATTTCCATCCATCGGTCCTACGGCGTGAAGATTGGCAAGGTGAGCCCCTCCCTTGTACCTGCTTTTCACTCTCCCTTCCTTGTCGTTTATCCACACCTCTGTTGATGAACGTGAATTATAAGGTGCTAGTGACGGAGAGCATTCCGAATGCACCTCCACGTACTTTGACTGCTTGCGTGCAGTGAGTTGAGTGTCACTGAACATGAAATATCACGTGCCGGTGACAGAGAGCACCACTAACTGGGCATAGGAGTGGCAAAGGTGGGTAAGGGAGTGGCAGAGCTGGGCAAGGAGTGGCAGAGCTGGGCAAGGAGTGGCAGAGCTGGGCAAGGGAGTGGCAGAGCTGGGCAAGGGAGTGGCACAGCTGGGCAAGGAGTGGCAGAGCTAGGCAAGGGAGTGGCAGAGCTGGGCAAGGAGTGGCGTGCCCCGCGACGCAGTCTTGATCTATCGATCATATGGCATGCAGATTGACAAGGTGAGTCCCTCCATTCCATCTGCTTGTTGCGCTCCTTTCGCATGTCACTCATGATTTTATCCGTGTCTTGTTTTTTAAGCGTGTTTGTTTGTTTGTCATGTTTGAGGCAAGCATAGAAGCGAGATGTCTCTCACATGTGCTTCCCTTCTCCACCCTCTCCCATCTCGCATGCCAGCCCGTCTCCTCCACATGGCACCGTCTTTGGCCCAATTTACGTGGTGAGAAGAACAGGCACGCGCCAAGACTCACAAAAGTTCTGTTGTCTCGATTCTTCCGGTGGACGTGGTGGTGAGATGATGGAGCACCATAAACTCGTCTCATCCCACACCCACACCCACATGTCTTCCAGCTCCTCATCTTTCCACGTGCCTCCACTCTCATCCCCATTCCCTCTCCTTCTCTTCCCCTCACAGCACCGTCTTTGGCCCAGTGGGCGTGCAATGGAGCATGGCCATGCCGCGTGCAGCTGGACTCACTAACGCTCACTGGAGTGTTTTCTCTCTCTTTTTCTCATCCCACACGTCGTCTCAAGCTCCCGCATGCCTCCAAGCTACCCCCTATCCCGTCTACCTCTCTCCTCCCCAGGGCAACATCTTTGGGCGAGTGGACGTGCTACGCAGTATGGACATGTGCCTGGACTCACTCTCGGTCACCGGAGTGGCTTCCTTTATAAGGTCGCCTGGGATGATCCGAGTGGCCCTGTGTGGGTACGGGCCGGGACTTCTCAAATCCAACATTGTCATCTCCAACAATGAGGTGTACGGTGAGTGAGTGGGATGCTTCCCAGAGTCAACGGGAGTCAACAAGAGTCAATGAGATTGAAGGTCAGTGAATGGTCCTCACTGTCCCGCCTGCCCCCTTAACCCCTCTCTCCCCATTGCCCCCTTATCCTCACTCTCCCCCTGCCCTCCTGCCCCATGGTCTTGCACAGAGGAGCAGTGGGCACAGCAATAACAAACAACAACATCCATGGCTACATCTTCTCATCACCATGCTCTTTCCTGCTCTTTCCCTTAATCCACTCCCTCCTCTTTCCTTGCCTGCAGGGGTGAACACCCCCGTTGTGCTGCACAGGGGAGCAGAGGGCATAGCAGTCACCAGCATCTACATCCATGACCATTGTTATGCATGACAGCAACGAATGCATGCTTACTCGCATCATCTCCAATTGATCTCGTCATTTCCCCTCCGCACCCATCCCCTCCCCCCTCTCCTTATGTCAAATCCCCCCATTTGCCCCCTCTTCTCGTTTCGCCCTCTTCCGCTCTCTTTCCGTTGCCTGCAGGGGTGAACACTCTGACTGTCTTGCACAGGTGAGCGGCGTTAGGCATCACTATGACCAACAAGTACATTCACAACTACGTTATCGTTGGGATTCACTGCAGCGCTGCAGCGCCAATGTGCATTGCAGCGGTGACTGCATGCTCACTCGCATCAACTCCAGCCTTGTTTATTCTAACAACGGGGATCAAGTCTCGGCAAGGATTTACCACTGTCCTAGTGGTTGAACTCTCCTTTTCTGTACTCTTCCCCCCTTCTTTCCCTTGACTGCAGGGGTGAACACTCCGATCCTCTTGCACAGGAGAGCAGTTGGTGTAACCGTCAGGAACAACTACGTGCACGACTTCATATTCGCAGGGTTCAAGTGCGGTGCCGACGTGCATTACAGCTTTGCGTGCATGCTCTCTCGCATCAACTCCAACCTTGTAGTTTCCTCTGGGAGGAACCTGAACGGGGATCACGACTCGGCTGGGATCTACTTCTACACGCACTGGTTCAGTCCCGGGAACTCGGCGCTGTGCAACTACGTGTTCAACGGCGACCACTGCTACTATCTGGACCATTGCACGTCAGGCGTGCTTGTCAGGGGAGGCGCGTGCGTGAATACGTATGACGGCATGAAAGTGAATAACGGCAAGCGGTGAGGAGGGACTGTGGAGATCCAGTGGTGTGCAATCATATGTTCAGTTGCGCCCTTTAGGGCCCCCTTTTCGTTTGCCTCAGCAGTTTCCTTTGCACAACAACTCCGGATGCCGTACTGCCCTGTATTGCTGTCCACCCCTTCCTCCCCCATCTTGACTGCAGGAACGTGATAAAGAACGTGGTGATGAAAGGCACGCGGAGATCGCTGGGGTGGACGTCGTGCTTCATAGTGACCGTCAACAACTGCCTCAAAGACCCCGGCAACTACTCGGAGGCCATGCGCGTGAAATACTACAACAGCGCCCGCATCAACCACGTGAGTGAGAGTAGAGCAAGAAGTGAGCAAAGAGCACATGTCATAGCTTCACATCCAACATGTGAGACGCCTCAAAAGTACCGAAAGGGACTACTGGGATGCAATGCAAGTGAAATACTACACAGCACCCATATCAACCGAGTACATGAAGAGAGCTGTTACTACTGGGAGGCATCCCTGTGAATATCTGTGCCAGTGGCTGTGCATATGGTGCCCCTGTGGTGGCGTTAAGCCTCGTTCCTCACACACAGCAACCGTATCAACTGGGTGTGTGAGAGTAAAGGAGCAGATGTTCAGCAGTGAGAGAGTGTGAAGTCACATGTGGTCAAACTTACCAAGTGATCACTGCTCCCCCACCCGTTGACCCCCCCTCCATATCATGTGTGCAATAAAAGCTAATGTATTCTTTTCCTTACCTCCCCCTTCGTCTCCCTTCTCTCCTCTCCTCTCTCCCCTCCCTCTCTCCCATCTCTCCCATCTCCTCTCTCTTTTCCCCCCCTCGTTATTGTCACATCCAGCTATGGCCTTCGATGAAGGACGTCTGCAAGGAAACATCGGCCAATGGCGGCGTGTCATGTAACCCGCCAGGTCAGCCAGGTGCTGACGTCACGGGAGCATGCAGCGGGCTGGGAACCGACAATCTCATCGACGTTGTCGCCGTCAACACCACCAACTATGGCCTCGACTGGAAGCACTGCGAGAATTTCACCGTTACGGAAAAGTTGAATCGGGAGATCAACATTTCGCTGAGTCAGCCTCTTGCTGCGGGCTTTCGGGACTACATAGGGAATGATTTGGGGCTGGAAAATACATCTGCAATTTTGAAGTTGCGGCTGGATTATTTGAGCTGCCCGTTGGGGCTCGCAGGACCAAGAAAGTTTTCGGAGAAGTCTTTTTATGAGGGTTACAACATCCTGATGCCAAGGGGGTTTCGGAAGGTTGTTACGATGGACATTAAGCATATTATAATTCAGGACTTGATTATCCCCTCGGTTAGAGCTCAGATGATGGCAGCTGGTGATGGGGAGTATTCATGGCTTGCCTCATCTAGAGGCTTATCAACAAAAATCTAACACCGTCACGCTTTTCAACTTACGAACGCTACTCCATCTTATCCCGAACAGATATTCCAATGTCAGGTGACGCCCTCTCTGCTTTCACACGTGGCCTATTCGGGCGTGCAACATCGCCCACACACAAGCGACGCCGCGAACCTGCCTTGACACTTGCCCTCTCTCCCTCCCCTCCTCCCCCTCGCCTTACACCCATCCCCTTCCCTTACCCCATTCCCTTTCCGTTACCTTCTCCCCTTACCTTTATCCCCTACCTTTCCACTAATCCACCCCTCCTTCCCTTACCCCCTCCATGAACCGCATCCCCTTCCGTTTTCCCTTTCTCCTTTTCCCACCCCTCCCTTCACCCAAGTCTCCTTACCCCAATTTCCTACTATGGCACCAGGCTCTGCCACGACCCGTCCCGCAGCTCACTCCTGGCAAATTCAATCCTCGCGGGCTGATTGGAATGGCTGAGCTTGTAAGGAGTGCGGTGCGTAGTACTGCAGGCATCACTGCTCCAGCCGGACGATGACCGCGCCTCGCCTTGCACCCGCCGTTGCACCACCGCCAGTTGCACCGCTGCTGGAGACGTAACGATTGCCCCCTCAGCTGTGCTCCTGCGTCTCTTGCACCCCCACTTGTTGCCTGCCTGCGTGCCACGTGCCCCTTGCCTGGAAGAACCTTCACGATTCCGGGTTGTCCTTATGATCGCTCACGTGACGCTCGCCTGCCCGAGCCCTCCTACTACCCTTCCCACTATGCCATTTCTCCCTTTTCTGGTTTCCTGCTCCCTCCGTCTTCAACCCCCCGTCAACCTCCCCCCCTCTCCCCCACTCCACACATGTCACTCCGCCGCTAACTTCTTCCTACCCCACTGCACTCACTCCCGCCACTTCCCTTTCGCTTTTGGCCCTTATGGCCCGGCCACACTGCTCTTGCACCACCACACTCTCCCCTTCCCTTCCTACCCCCCTCCCTCCCCTTCCCCCCACCCCTCACCCCCAGCATAGATGCTTACCCCCAGGCAGCGGGTGCACTGACTACTAAGGCATTATCACCTCCCTTTGACATGCCCTCCCTCTCCGCTATGTTGCCAGCGCACTGTTTACAGGACGAAACGGCTATACCCTGTGCCTTTGGGGCAACCTGCGCGTCACAAGCATGTCAGTCTCAGGTCAGTTTTAGGTCAGTTTGAGGTCAGTTTTCAGGTGAATTTTAAGGGGGTTTCAGGTAAGTCCTAGGTGAGTCTCGAACGAGTCTTTGGACTCACTCGCGCCACTTCTCTTACGCTCTGCAGCAGCCTGTGCCCTCGGGTTAAGCTCCTATTCACAAGCAGGTCAGTTGCAGGTCAGTCTCAAGTGAATTTCAAGTGAGTCTCAGGTCAGTCTTATGTCAATCTTAGGTGGGGTTGAGTACGTACCAAAATTGAGTCCAACCGGTCCACTATGTTGGAAACAATCGTTCCTAAGCGCCTCTGTCGTGTCGAAACACCAAGACACAAGCGAAGCAAAACATTATCGAAGCACCAGCGAGTCAACCCTCGGAGGTTGAAGTAACCGTCGGAGGTTACGCAAAAGTCAAAGGTCAGCGACCCTTGACCTGATAAGTACAGCACGACAGCAAGGACACACAACTGACTCGCTACAGAGCAGTTGCCCGAGACGTCACTGTATCGAACCGCAACAGCAACAGTAAAGTAGTTATAACCGTATCTCTTCGTATTCCTTGTACTCCTATATAATCCTGTATCTCTTTGCTTTAATCAACTTACTTTGCCCTCACATACTAGCGCAAGGTGGTTCACAACCCTTTAATTAACGCTTCCACTACTACACCAACTCTACCCAGAGTTCACCCCTGCAAAGATCCTAAGGGCTTTTCAGCGCAACATGGTATGAGAGCAATCAGGGGGAATTCAACTTCTATACCGACAACATCAATCAGCATGGCTACACAAAAGGAAATGAGCAACTCCAACGGCTCCCAGGGTACTACTCCTACTCCACCTCTTGCCTCTGGCCTATAGACAGAGGAGGGCACGGCAACAAGACCCTATGGGATACCCCACTATAGTCTACACAACAGCATAAGCTATAATGTTCTGACACACACCCATAGGCAAAGTGGGGGAGAACAAGGGGTCACAAGACCAGTCAAGCAAAGCAAAGCAAAGCTCAGGGTGGATCACAAAGTCACCACACAGTTCGAGCACAAGGTCAAGGCCACAAGGCCAGTTTACATGCAAGAGGAGACACACATATATATAAAGCTAAACACGCAAGAGCAGGTATATATATATGCAAGAGTACAAGCAAGGTCAAGAGGTAAGTAAGTGAGGCAAGACCGGAACAAGTTCCAGCTGAGTGCAGAAACGCTGATGATCACAAGGCGGAAGTGCCTTGGTGAAAACATCAGCAGTGTTGGCCTCAGAGGCCACGTACGCAAGTCGCAATTGACCACGCTGCTGCAGCTCACGAGCAAGGAAGTAGCGGAGAGCAATGTGCTTCGTTCTGTGCTCCAGGCGCTGCTCTCGACACAAGGCCAGCATGGCCTTATTGTCTACGTACAGCACTAGAGGAAAACGAGGCGGCTCTCCAAGGTCAGTCAGCAGGTAGGTGAGCCAGCAAAGCTCCTGTGCAGCCATGGCCCCGACGTAGATCTCAGCCTCACATCTGGAGCCGAGAACAGAGGACGAGCGAGTAGCCCGCCATGAGACAGAGCCAGAACCAAGACTGAAGGTGCACCCCTGCGACGACCGCTGCGTAGCCTGGTCGTCAGCCCAAGAAGCGTCCGCGTGGCCAGTGAGTACCACTGGACTCCGCCCTCCAAGCACTAGCCCCATGCCCGACGTACTGCACAAGTAGCGCAACACCCTCTTCGCTGCAGCCATGTGCTCCTGCGTAGATCTCAGCCTCACAAGTGGAGCCGAGAACAGAAGACGAGCGAGTAGCCCGCTATGAAACATAGCCGGAACCAAGACTGAAGGTGTAACCCTGTGACGACCGCTGCGTAGCGTGGTCGTCAGCCCAAGAAGCGTCTGCGTGCCCAGTATGGACCACTGGACTCTGCCCTCCAAGCACAATCCCCATGCCCGACGTACTGCACAAGTAGCGCAACACCCTCTTTGCTGCAGCCATGTGCTCCGGTCGGTGTCTCCCAGGAGCAACATAGCGTGCAAGAATGCTAAGAGGGTATGCAAGGTCAGGTCGTGTGCAGGTCATCAGGTACATGAGGCAGCCAACAAGCTCTGGGTACGGGCCACTCGACTCTACGGACTCATCCGAAGGCAGAGCTGAGAGCGAGTGGCGAGTAGGCAGAGGAGTGGCGTGAGGCGAGGAGTACGTGAAGCCGAAGCGCTTAAGGACCTGCTGCACCATGTGTGACTGAGTCAAGGTAATGGTGCGGCGTGCTCTGTCCCGAGTGATCTGCAAGCCAAGGTAGCTGCGCAACTCACCCAGGTCTGTGCACGTGTGTCTCTTCTGCAGCTCGGACTTCACGTAGGCGAGTCCAGCAGTGTCAGCAGTGGCAAAGACCAAGTGGTTGACGTACACGAGGATGTAGAACGGCGGCAGAGAAGTGTCGGTGCGCAGAAACAACGACGGGTCAGCAGTAGAGGGAGCAAACCCAAGAGCCGCAAGTGTAGTCCTCATTGTGTCGTGCCACTGACGCGGTGCCTGGCGGAGACCGTAGACTGGCCGTCGGAGGCTCCACTGGGTGCCAGGAGGGAAAGTCCCAGTGAAGCCAGGTGGACGGCGCAGCCAGATCTCCTCGTGCAAGCTGCCCTGCAAGAAAGCAGTGCTGAAGTCAAGAGAGTGAAGCTCGTAGTCGCGCTGAGCGGCTATGTGCAGCAGTACCCGAAGAGTGGTCATCTTCGGGGTGGGAGAGAAGGTCTGAAACTAGTCAACTCTCTGCCGCTAACTGAAGCCACGAGCGACGTACCGCGCCTTGAAGACAGGTGGAGAGCCAGGCGGCCGCTTCACCCTGAAGATCCACATGCCACTGAAGATGTTCGCCCCAGGAGGGGGAACCGCGTCAACGTAGGTGCTGTGGACTTCCAGGAAGCCATCTCTGCATCCATAGCTGCCTGCCACTGAGAGGAGTAGGGACCCTCTATCGCCTCCGCGTAAGAACGCGGAGTCGGGATGTCTGGTGCATCCGGGTCTCCCTCAGGGGCTAGCAGTACAGACGCGAGATGAGGTGAAGCGGCGGCCAGACACTTGAACTCCTCTTGCCTGTCCTCAAGGACGTCTGTGCCAAGAGCACACTCACCCCCGACGGACTGAGGACAGATAGACGCAGACTCAGCAACAAGACTAGCAGCGTAGTCTAGACGACAGCAAGCAGCAAAGTCGACGAGCTCAGCAACAAGAGCAGACGCAGCAGTGGAATCAAAGGAAGGGTCAGTGAAGACAGTAGCAAGGAGACGCGTGACAGTAGGACTGGCAGCACGAAGGGAGTTCGACTCTGGGTCGGTAAGTGCAGGAAGAGAGGACTCAGGAGGAGAAGGCAAAGGGGCACGCAAAGG